CCTCCATATCGCTTCTATCATCAGTTTGCGGTGAGAGCTTGGGAGGTGAGAAAAAAACTGGAACCCTTCTTGCATCACCAGGGTTGATGCTATCCTCCACTGGTGTCAGTGGCATTCTATTAGGGTTTAGTTTCCGCCGACGACCTCGCGAAAAGGGCTGGGTTGAACCAGTGAAAGTATCAAGGTTCAGCTCCCTTTCCAAGCGTCTAATTCGACGATACTGCAAAGCCCCGTAGGTTTCTGAGTGAAAATGTGTTTGCGCCATGCCAAGAGAACACCCGCCGCGCTGGGGAACTGAAGAGTGGCCCTGCTGTCGCGTGAAGTAGTAGATTTGCGTCCTTGAAAACCTAACTCGCTTCCCATCCAGTGGAGATGAGGATGAGGGAGGAGGATTCTCTGTGTCTGAAATTTTGCCACTTGAACACGATTCAAGGCAGTAATCATGTTTGTTTGGGCTAAAAACTGAGCCCTCCATGATAACACCAAACCAGAGGCGGCTAGCCACTAACAAGGCGGGCTGCACAGCTTGGCGCCAGTAAATGCAATCCACTGCAAAGTCTTGAAAAATAGCATAGTGGCAAAAGAATATTCCAATTTAAGGGCTAAAATGGCCTGTGCGTGTGCTAATTCCCAATCTGCATCAGTATGCGATATAATTAGATGATCGACATTAACTAGTATACGAAGAAGTAATAAATTTGTAGCACTTGACTGACAAACAAAATTTTGCAAACACGTCTTGACTTATAACTGTGCAATGATTTTACGCATCAAATTTTTTTTATGGCCATCGGTATTTAGTTCTATGATGTTCTTTAGTCAGCGTGGAAAATTTGCGAAAATAAATGCCAAACACTCTCCTGTGTAGAAGGAGCTTTGGAAAAATATATTTCCAAGCAATTATAAAAAATTCTAATAAATGTTCAGCTTGTATTGCAAGGTTTCAATTATTTAACGCTCGGAATTGATAAAGAACCGCCCGTTCTCTGCTGTCACTAATGTACCGTCCCGAGGCTCCCTAAAGACGAAAGAAGACTCAATGCTCGAGCAGAATATATATTCAGCGCAGAGAGGGTCTCTGGGCTAATGGCATGACTTGAAAGGCCAGCCCACCCAGAGGGGTATAAGAGGGCTAATTCCAAGTACAATTGTAATACGGTAGTGGTTTATCCCTCGGTTCTGGTGAGGCGCCACTTTTGTACTTCGCCGGGTGGGCTGGCCTTTTA